TACATTTGTAAATTTAGATATATAATTTAGTTGTTAAATGGTGTTGTTAGCCTTAGAACTGTTATTTGCTATCCAGCTTCAACAGAAATCCTCAGCACAATTCCTTCCCACAGTCTATGTAAAGATTTTAAGTGTTTCACTCTTTTTATTTCTTATTAATTTGCATAACTAGGTGATAAAGTTCCACTACTTACAGACAAATACTATTCCAAAGCTCAGAGATAAAATAAAATCTTTTAAATTCAAAATGTGATAGATTCTTACCTAAACCATTTCTCTTCTGGACCTCTGAATGACAATGAGCTGTATGCTTAATTATTATTATTATTTTCATTTTTTAAAATGTTTTTGGTATAGGGTCTCACTATGAAGCCGGGACTCATAGTGACCCTCCTGTTTTCAGCCTCCCCAGTGCTGGGATTATAGGCGTGGGCCACCATGCCTGGACTGTATGGTTAAATATTAATATTTTCATAACCTTAAGTGAATCAGTTTATTATATGGCATTATTGGTAAATTACATACACAGAAAACATTTTTTAGCATAATTAATAATTATTTGAATTAATATCAGGTGTATGCTAACACAGACCTATTGAAAATAGGACTTTTGAGCTTGTGGCGACATAGTGCTGGAAAGACTTCTGAAGTCCAGTAGGATACACAGGCAGACACACAGACAGATATGTGCATAGGCAAACACTGGCTGGTGAGGCATTGAGTCAGCCGGTTGCATCATTTAACATATCCTGCTCTCAACTGCTACATTTTGGTATATTTAGTTCTTGTATTTACTCCTTGATCTTTCAGAAAAAATTTCAACATGAATTTTTGATTTATGTAATCATTTTATAAACATATTACCACTATTGATGATTTGATTGTCCTATGTATTTATAAATATTTTCGGTTTGGAAATCCATGTAAGTAACAAAAGGAATATAAAGTTAGTTTAAACATGTTTATGTGCTTTTTCTTAGAACTGCATTTAGTGTGCTTTGATAAAATATGTATTTCTCTAATAAGATTTATCGGTGAGTAGAAAGGCTCCTTGAAAGGAATCCAACACGCTGTTTTCTATGTAACTTTTTTTAACCTAAAGTTTGTTTTTTCACAGGTTTCAAACAGGAAAACAAAATGAAACAAAACAAAACCCAGTAAATGTGAAGTTGGGTCACAGACTCAAGTCTTCGTGTCCATACCGTGTCAGTGGTCATGGCTTAATTTCATTTTTGTTCTTCAGTTTCATTTGCTTTAAAACCAGAAGTTAAAAATTTTAAAGCTTTCTTCTCATGCCTTGAAAATTTCATTAACTCCGAGAAAATATGATTAACAGGCTTATAGCTTTCATGGGTCCTGCCATGTCACATGCCTCTGGAGATCCCTTTAAGGGGAGCTTGTTCTTCATAGATGTGATATGAGCTGCCATGGACAGAAATGTGACACATGAGAAGGAGAACGGGTTAAGGACAGGAAGAGGAGTGCGCGGTAGCAGTGACGCCCCTTTGGCTTCTTTTTGTCTACAGTCTAGTTATTCCTCCTTGAAAACCTGCTGGCACCAGGTGGCATGAGCAGGGATGAGTAATACGCAATTTTTATCTCTACTGAGTTACGTCTGGCTCAGAGACCCTTGACAGCTGTCAGTCAGGTGTCTGGTCAATGAAGAGATGCATACAAAGCTGCCAAGATATTTTTGTTTCCTTAAATACTTTTAAGTAAACCATTTGAGTAGGAAACTCTGTTGTACTGAAGTTAAATAAATTGATGGTCATAATATAATTTATTGAAATTAATTGCTGGAAGAATCAAAATTTTCCCTAGTAATATATGATGTCAATAAAATGCTTTTCAAATGCCATTATGAAATAGATGATTAATTTAGGGCACATAAATGAACTACATTTATTTTATTTTATTTTAATAATTTTATTGAGAAAAAATAGTAATGAGACAGTTTCAAAACCGATTAGTAGGAGAGTTTCAATAATTAATACATTGCATGAACTACATTTAAGACATGAAAACGAATGGAAAATTATGCTTTAAATGTATGCTTTTTGAGAAAAAAAATTCTAAGTCACAATTTTTATCTAAAACTGAATAAAAGCAACTGTTCTGCTGCACTGAGAGAACTGTCATGGCTATTTCCGTGACACAGTGTAGAAAACTATTCAGAAAAAGCTAGCCAGTAGCTTGCTGATCCAAGATTTATGGATTCTCATAATTCAAAGAAAAAAATCATGGAATTTTAGATAAAATCAACAATTCATGGCACAACTAAAGTTTTAGTTGTTTGGGATTTCTGGGCTATATTTCACATTGTTTCTAATAGATTCTGCTATACTTCAAATTGATAATTGTAAACAATAATTTGGAAGATGCGTTATATTGCTTATAGTCAGTGTTAATAGCAATTCGATAGTTATAGCCAATACTAACACATGGAAAAGCTTAACAGTATGATTTTTGAAGTTGACCTAAGAGTGTATGTTATGCTCAATTTTGCCATAATTACTTATCATCTCTAAAAGCAAGTACTCTGATTCTTTATGAATATAGTATTTTACATACTAGAGTTATTATCCAGTACACAGAATACATATCAATTCTTTAAGAGACTAGTAGATAAAAATTCAGTGAATGTTTGCCAAGGGCCAAAATCAATATAATGAAACATGACAAAATATATAAAAAACCAGTTTAAA